GGTTCTTAGGCCTTTGCACTCGGGACTGAATTACACCATTGGTTTTCCTGGGTCTCCAGCTCACAGACAGCAACTCCAACTTCTCAGCCTTGAGTAAGTAAATTCCTCATATAAATCTCTTCCTATATATACATCCTATTGGCTCTGTTTCGCTAGAGAACCCTAATACACTCTCCCTCTTGTAAGCAAGCCTAGGATGGTAACCCTTGTTTTTTAGCCCAGGCTTCTGTACCTTCCATTATGGTTCCCCTCTACCCTGGCCACACTCTATAAATATTCCTTTGCAAATTAAACCTCCTTGAATTATCCTAATTTAGTGCACCATCTGTTTCTTTTTGGGACTCTGATTTACATATTCCCCAATTTCAAATGTTCTTACAGCAAAATTCTAATACAGCGCTATCCTTTTCATGTCAATTCTGGGAGCTGGTAGAAGCCATCAAAGTCTGATGGACTCTTGGCCAAACATAACCTCCCTGATCAAATCTTTTTTCCTACTCCACAAATACTAGAGAACAAGACTCCTAGTGCCCCAAACACAGATCTTACAAAGAGAATTCAAGTGGGTGAAAACTCTCAACAATGCCAATTTTGAATCTTTTCCTTTCCCCTCCGTTTCACTGATCGCCCCAGTGGACAACCCACTGACCGCACAAATGGCAGCAGAAATCAAAGAACATAGAATAGTGGACCTGAGAGGAACCTAGAGACCACCTAGGCCAACCCTCCTTGACCACTAGCTCTCTGTCCATTTCCATCCCCTCTACCACCACTACCATCACCACCATGACCACCATCACCACCACCATTTCATTCCACCACCATCATCACCATGTCCACCACCATCACAGCCATCAGAACCATGCTTACCACCACTACATCCTATTACATTACATCCTACATTACATCCTACACCACCAGCAACAACACCTCCACCACAACACAAGCCAACACCAACACCATCATCACTGCACCAAACCAACCACTATCATGACCACTACCACCACTACTACACCACACACCACCATTGTGTAGGAGAGAAGTATATGATGTCCAGGGAGACATGTAATTTACAAAGGGTAGGACACTTAGTTGGTGGTGTAATTAAACTAGAACTCAAGCCTTTTAACTTTTAGTCAGAGAGGCTGATTCTTAAGTAAACAAGTGACTTCAACTGCAACTTAAAATTGAAAACAAAATAAAGTATGAGGAGGATAGTGTGGTATCAGAAGACAATATTGATTTTTTTCATTGATTTGCCACAAACCTGTCTTTAACACAAAGACAAAATTGATATTAAAAACTAGAATCCTTTGGGAGGCCAAGGCAGGCAGATCACTTGAGGCCAGGAGTTCCAGACCAGCCTAGCCAACATGGTGAAACCCCATCTCCACTGAAAATTCAAAAATTAGCTGGGTGTGGTGATGTGCACCTGTAGTCTCAGCTACTCTGGAGGTTGAGGCATGAGAATCACTTGAAGACGGTAGGCAGAAGTTGCAGTGAGCCAAGATCGTGCCACTGCACTCCAGCCTGGGCAACAAAGTAAGACTCTGTCTCAAAAACAAAACAAAACAAAACTAGAATCCTGTATTTCAGTTATGGTTCTGGTGAGCTTTTAAAGAAATCACAGCTTGGTACATTCTCCTATTTATGCCCCAATTTCCAAATTCAAGCTTCGGTTTTTTTGAAATTCAGTTTTCTGCCCTGATCACTGGTGTTAGCTTGCAAGTCAATAAAGCGTTCTCCCTTGGGTTGAAGTGTGAGCCGTGAAATTCACATGCAAGTTCCCATCAAGAATGATCACAGTCATAAACCTGATAGGTGAATTGCGCTTGACTTGATGTGTAATTGGAAGAAAACAATTATTTGCCAAGTAATAATAATGCTAGCTTACTCATATTTTTCAAAAGGGTTGTATATCCATTATTTTGGTCCTTGAAATAGCCCCAAGAAGATGGTGTCATTGTCATCCTTTTACAGGCAAGGAAACTGAGATGAGAATGTTCAGAGTCACAATGTGAACAGATGACAGAGGCAAGCTTAGAGCAGGACAATGACAATACCAACGCTGGCTGACGTCTGCTGATTTCATCCTCTGTGCTAAGCTCTTCATATGCCTGATCACATTTAATGAGAACTGGGTGTCTTTTTCAATTTCTCTGAACCCATATAACAAATGTGATCATCTGCTAGTCATTCTGCTATGTCAGGCTCAGCCCAACACCTTTGAGTCCTACGAAAGTAAGCTACAAAGAGCTCATGAGTGGAAAGCAGGAAAGTAACGGAAGTGGGGTTAACACTGCTGCTTCTTTGTTTTTGTTTTGTTTTTTGTTTGTTTGTTTTTGTTTGTTTGAGACAGGGTCTCACTCTGTCACCCAGGCTAACATGCAGTGGTGTGATCTCAGCTCACTGCAAATTTTGCCTCCTGGGCTCAAGCAATCCTCCCATGTAAGCCTCCCTAGTAGCTGGGATTACAGGTGTGCACCACCATGCCCAGCTAATTGTTGTATATTTTGTAGGGACACGGTTTTGCCATGTTGCCCAGGCTGGTCTTGAACTCCTTGGCTCAAGTGACCTGCCTGCCTCGGCCTCCCAAAGTGCTAGAATTACAGGTGTAAGCCATTGCGCCAGGCCAGCATTGCTTCTTAAATGTGTCTTGACTGCCCTTTGCCTGAAGAGTTGTCTGCAGGTTCCTTTCAAAGGAGCACTGGAGCAAGAGTCAAAGCCTTCTCTGCCACGTACTAGCCATGTGACAAAGGAAGACATTAACTCTCTTGGTGCTCTGTTTCAGTCTCTATAGTGAAGGGGTTGGAGGAGAGCAAGGGTTTTCAACCGTGCTCTGAGGAAGCCTAGAATCACCCTAGAAGAGCCCTGGGGACAGAGAAAGGGGAGGCCAGGGGGAGTTATTCAGCACACCTACCCTCCGCTGCTCCAGCCTCCAGATCCAGGGCACCCTCTTTCTCCAGGCATACATTGGGCTTCCACAGATTTTATGAGGAAGGAGCTTCATGGATAAAATTGTTTGAGGTTCATGGAAAAAAAGACTAGCATTTGCAACTTGGGATGGACGTAAATCGTAATTTCTTGAACAGCAGCATTCATGGTTGTGCCGAAGTTTGCAGCCACGGCCTCCTCTGCTGGCTCCAAGTCATGGTTCAGAAGGTGTTAAAAACAGAGTCCGAAGATGCCCCCTTGATAAAGGCTTCTTATTAACAATGTGTGAGAATAGTGACAGCCTGATACCCGTTTCACTCTAGAACAATGCAGACAATGCTAAACCAACATCTGCAGCCATGTTGGTTGGGCAAGTGTGATACCAGGGTGTGTCATTGTCACCATGGGTTGAAGCACATGGAAGTACAGGAGGGTCATCCCACTAGCAGGGCTGAGTCTCAAGAATTTATTCTTCATCCATTTCTCTGTATATTATACTGAGGGAAACCAATTTTAAATGTGTTGGTTTGCAGTAAACCAGCTTAATACACTCTGGGTCAAGTCATCGGTCATTTAACCGAAGTGTTTTTGGTTAAATGGGCACAGAAATTGAAATCAGAAGAAGTAATGTGAATTTTAATTCTGCTCCTTACCATCCATGCCACCCGAGATAAGTCTTTCGGTGTCTCTCGGTGCTATGTATCCCTGAAAATTCACGTATTGAAATCCTAACACCCAGTGTGATGGTATTGGGAGATGGGGTTTTTGGTGATTAGGTCATGAGGGTGGAGCCCTCAGGAATGGAATTAGTACCTTCATAAAAGGGACCCGAGAGAGCTGCCCTGCCCCTTCTACCTTGTGAAGGCGCAGCGAGAAGACGGCCATCTGTGAGGAAGCAGGTCCTCACCAAACACCGAATATACCACTGCCTTATCTTGGAATTCCCAGCCTCCAGCACTGTGAGAAGTAAATTTCTGTTGTGTATCATCCACCTGGTCTATGGCATTCTCTTTTTATTATTATTATTATTCTTTAAGTTCTGGGATACATGTGCAGAACGTGCAGGTTTGTTACATAGGTATACACATGCCATGGTGGTTTACTGCACCCATCAACCCATCATCTACATTAGGTATTTCTCCTAACGCTATCCGTCCCCTAGCCCCCCACCCCCTGACAGACTGCAGTGTGTGATGTTCCCCTCCCTGTGCCCATATGTTCTCATTGCTCAACTCCCACTTATGAGTGAGAACGTGTAGTGTTTGGATTTCTGTTCCTGAGTTAGTTTGCTGAGAATGATGGTTTTCAGCTTCATCCATGTCCCTGCAAAGGACACTTTTTTATGGCTGCATACTATTCCGTGGTGTATATGTGCCACATTTTCTTTATCCAGTCTATCATTGATGGGCATTTGGGTTGGTTCCAAGTCTTTGCTATTGTGAACAGTGCTGCAATAAACATAGGTGTGCATGTGTCTTTATAGTAGATTGATTTATAATCCTTTGGGTATATAGCCAGTAATGGTGTTGCTGGATCAAATGATATTTCTGGTTCTAGGTCCTTGAGGAATTGCCACACTGTCATCCACAATGATTGAACTACTTTACACTCCCATCAATAGTATAAAAGTGTTCCTATTTCTCCACATCCTCTCCAGCATTTGTTGTTTCCTGACTTTTTAATGATCACCATTCTAACTGGTGTGAGATGGTCAGGTTTGTCAACAATCAGATGGTTGTAGACGTGTAGCATTATTTTTGAGGGCATTTTCTTATAGCAGCTCAAATGAACTAAGACACTCTGCCTCAGTGGTCCCATCTGTGAAATGAGGATAAAAATAACTAGGGCAAAGGGTTACCAATAAAATTTTAAAAGAAACTCTCTGAAAAGCCTAAACAGCATCTGACATTCATTCATGCAACCATTCACTCAAAATATAGATGTAGGCACTACTTTGCACCATATGCCCTGGTGGAACCTGGGATTCCGAAGGAGCAAAAGTAGACCCGATCCTACCTCAGGGAGCTCCTATCTGGTGCAGGGGACAAATAAAAATGTAACTTTACCTTGGGATGAGTGCTCAGAAGGAGAAGAGCCAGGTGCTTTGTGAGAGAATAGCTAGGTGGAGGGCTATCACAGATTGAGGACTCTGGAGGGCCTCTTTGATACCTAAAAGAGAGGGAGCCAGCAAGGGATCAAGTTAGGGAAGAATGTTCCAGATGGGAGGGAAAAGGTTGGTGAGGCAGAATCACAGTGAGAGTGACAGGTGCCATTATTTGCCCATCCAATACCCGTCCCCTTCCTTACTCCAACACAAACACTTCTTGCTAGCACAGCCTCTGTTTCACTGAGTTATTGGGTAGCCATGTTCTTCCATGGTGGGCACATAGCCCCTGTGCAGTCCCATGGATGAACTTCAGTGGTCTAGGCTAATCACAGAGCTTCCCTCCTGGCTTGGGCACATGCTGCAATTCAGACCAATGAGCCAGAGCAGTACTCTGAGGGAGGCTTCTGGAAGAGGTTTCATGACTGATGGAGAGAGACCGTGGAGGAAATGCTTTCTTCTGCCTCTGGATGTTGTCATCCACAGGTGGCCTTGGGACTGTGGCAGCCTAAGAGGCCATCTTGATGGGCTGAGGATGACAGGGGAAAGAGTCGCAATATCGGGATCTTTGATGCTGTGGAGTCTAAGCTAAGCAACCCTGGCACTGCCCTGCCCCAGACGTCTTGCTCCAGGAGATGACATGGTCTCCTTTGTGATAACGCTAGTTGAATCCACTTCTCTGTCACTTGCAGCCTCAAATATGCTGAGTGATGTGGTGAGTGAGGGGGAGTGTTAAAGATGAGAGCAGAAGCCAGGACCAGGTCACTTGGGCCAGGCTGATGTGTGTAAACTCCATGCTAAAAAAAAGTTTTGGAAACCAGTGGAAAAAGATGAAGCAAGGGCAGAAAGTCCATGCTGGCTGCTCTGCCGGGAGTGGATTATGGGGCCAGGAGTGAAGGCAGTTAGGAGAGTTTGGCATGAGTCTTGGTGAGAGAGCATCTAGATGGAGCACACCAGGTAGGCTGGGGGTGACTTGGAACATGCAGCTGGCAAGTGTCTCCAGTGCTGGTTGTGAACTCTGCTGTCTATAATTCCAACCAAATTAGCCTGACTCACCACTGGTCACCACTGTGCAGAGAGAGCCCCGAGTATGGCTCAGGAAAGCTCTGAAATTGGAAATCAAATGCTTGCGCAAAGATTCCTATTTTGACCTTTCTGTTCGCCTTTGGGCAAGTTCCCCTCTTGCCCCCACCCCCATCGCCAGCCTCAGTTTCCTCCCTAGTGAAATGGTAGAGCAGTTGTCAAGGTCATGTGAAAGGACACGTGAATGTCTATTAGAAGCTCTGGAGACAGCCTGGTAGGGGAAGTGGAGAACAGCATGTGCTTCTCACTCTCCCATCCCTTTCCCTCACCGTTCCTCTGAGATGACTCAGACTAGTTCCTGCTGGGTTTTTTCCACTCTGTCTCTGATGCTCAACCCCGCAGCAAGGGCCCTCTCCTCTCCCCATGCCCTCACAAGTCATGGGTATCAAATCAGCTGCTCTTATGGCCTTCCCCCACGCTGCTGCTGCTCTACGGCTCCGGAGTGTGCTGAAGAGATGTCCAAAGGGCTGACCCACTCCTCCTCGCCTCGGGGAGATGGTGGGACAAAATCAAAGATCCCCCGTTCCACCCCATGCTTTCCCCACCTATCACTGCTTCCCATACCCGTTAAATAAAGGTCTGTGCTCTTCATGGTTCCGTGATGTTTTGGTGCCCATCTTTGGGTTCTCATGAAATTTCTGCATGTCTTTACAATAAATTTCCCTTATTTGAGATGGCTTGGGTGGCCCACCCAAGCCATCTCAACCAAACTGGATGAATGCATGACAGTGATGGTTATTGTATGTGTCGACTTGGCTGGGCCACAATGCCCAGATATATGGTCAAACATTCTTCTGGATGTTTCTCTGAGAGTGTATTTGAATGGGTGTGTTTGAATATTTAAATTGATAGACTTTGAATACAGCAAATTGCCCTCCCTAATGGGGGTGGCCTCATTCTGTCAGGCAAAGACTGATCTCTCGGAGCAAGAGAGAATTCTGCAGCAGTCGGCTTTCAAACTGAAGCTGCAATGCCGACTCTCCCCTGGCAGCCTTTGGACGTGAACTGCAGCAGCAGCAGCAGCAACCCTTTCCTGACCACTCCCCATACAGGTTTTGGACTTGCCAGCCTCCATAATCACAGGTGCCACTTCCTTAAAAGAAACCTTCTTCTGTATATGCACACATCCTGTTGGCTCTGTGTCTCCGGAAAGCCCTGACTAATATGACGACATTTCAGGCAGATCAGCCCCATGAATGAGAATGAAGCCTGGATTCTCAGGTGAGGACGCTCAGGTGGGGTCCAGGTGGGTACAGAAAACTCCATATTCAACCCCCCAGCAGCTTTTTTTAGAGGCTTTGGCAGAGTCCTGTTCTGGGAGATTATCTGTTGACCCGATTGAGCTACCCCTTCCCAGATAAGATGGATGCCTGCTGGCTGTGGCCGTGGCCTCCCAGGACTCCAGAGTGAAAGCAGGGTGAGCTGAGGCCCCTTCCAGAAGCAGAAATGGCACTCACCTGGGCTGGCTCCTCCCCATGGCTCTGGTGAACTCAGGCTAGGCTATCTTCAGAGTTCTCTGTGTTTTCCAGGCTAGGGCAGGACAAAATTGAGGCCCATCTTCCCAGAGAATGCTCCATGATCACTGCGTCTGAGGCTGTGCCAGACGTCAGGCTGAAAGCTCCAGGTCTCAGGGTCTAGGGAGAAGGAGAGAGATGCTTGTGGAGGTGGTTGGGAGAAGGAGAGGATGGTCATATTCAGATCTCAGGCAGCTTGGGAAGCACCAGAAGCCGAGTGGCCGCTCACACACCCTTTCGGAAGGACAGCCACCCACCTGATGCCCTCAGCAGGGAAGGTGACCGGGACCTGATAGAGAGTCCCAGCTCAGCATCCCATCCGGCTCTGGGCCCACCACGGCATCCCAACCACATGGGACACAGCAGCCAGAACCTGGTGGTGCCCAGCACTGTGCGAACTCCTTTGCATGAATGTGTAAGCAGCACAACTCTCAGTTCATAAATTCAAGTGTGCAAGACACAGGACGGTCTTCATTCTCTGTGACTCAGCCTTATTTTCATTTTGAATTCCCTGCCAGTAGTGGGCGAATCTTGAGCTCAGACCACTCAACTTAAAGCCATTTTCCCCAGGAGGCTGTCTGAGTTTCTGTGGGTAGGCATGAGGTTGTCAGAGTGACAAGGTACTGAGTGAGACCTCAGTGTAGTGAGTCCACTTGGTCACCATTGAGCTGCCCTGTGATCCTGTCTCAGGAACCCTCCAGTCTTGTGGGGGGCGGTGCAGGGTGGGGGGGCGGTGTCTCTCCACTTCTTCTGGGCCATGGTTGCATCAGGACCCATCTGCTGCTTCCACAGTCTGGTGGGGGAGGAAAGCCCATAATGAGGCTCTCTAAGGTCCATGACCTCGTCACACTGCTCTGTTCCCTTCTCTGGGCCTGCCTGCCTCCTCAGGGCTCTCACCAGGACAGGAGGCATGAGTGTCCTCTGCTCTCACACGTAGCCCTCAGGTGGGACTGCAACCCTTCCCCAGGCTCCAGTCGTGAGCCGGTGCTCCCCATCTCCTCACTGCCCTCCTCCCCCTCAGGGAGCGCTTTTTTGGTTGGTTGGGCGGGAGGGCTGCTCTTACTCATTCAGGATGTTTGTTCTCAATCTGCCGCCCTACAGCTTCCCCTAAAGCCAAGGCTTTTGCACACAAAATTCAGGAAGAGGCTCCTTCCATTTCCCTTTGCCCTCTTCTGCCATGTCCTTTCCCAGAAGCCAAGGAACACACCGCCGAGGAGCCTGGCTGCAGACCCTGAGAAGGGTGGGGAAGGAAATCCAGATGGGAAAATACCAGTTGATATTTCAAAATGTTATGCATCAGATGTCGTCTCACTGTGCGTCACCACACTGCTGCGATGTAAATGCCACTGTCATGCCCATTTTATCGATGAGGAAACCAAGGCTTGGAAAGAGTGAGCAACATGCCCGAGGTCTGTGTGGGGCGTGGCTGGTGTTCGAACCCTGGTGCTCCCAGCAGCCAGTGCCCTAACCTCATGCTGTGCTTCTCTCCTGCCTCCTTCAGGCTGTTCCTGTGCAGTGTGTGGGCATGGAGCAGGTCTGTAGGGTCTCCGGTCCCCACATCCGACGGCTCCCCCAGCCTCAGCTGCACTCCTGGTGCGGGTCCTCTGGAGGCCCCAAGGTCGCACCTGGCTCAGCAGTGTTCACCACGCAGCACTAACACACCATTTTTCTTAAGGAGCAGATGTTTGATCTGACTGGGACTTCCTGCCTGGTTCATGGCCAGTAATCAATAAAACAAATATTGGCTGCCATTATTTATAATCTCCTTTGAGCCTCACAACAACCTAGTGAGAAAACTACTCTGATGTTCCTTGTTGGACAAAGGTTAAACTACTTGCCGGCAGTCACAGGCAGGAGGGCAATTGAAATCCTCTGGCGAGGCCCCCAGAGGGTGCCCTGTCTGCCACACCATCATCACCCAGAACAGGAGCCACTCAGGGTCATCCCTCCCAATGATTAAGGCCACGAAGCTGCTCCCTCGACGGCTGTGGGTAATTGGATTCCACATCCGCACCCACACACCACACGGCAGAGGCCCTCTTCCTCTCTTCCACAGTGTTGCTTTCCAAGGCTTTCCAGCAAGAACAGGTGCATAGGACATGGGACTGCGGATCCTCTGGGTCAGAAGAGAGAGTCCCTTCAGCCCTAACAGAGGATCCTCTCCCGCTCCCCAGTCAAACTACAGCAGCCGGGGGCACTCTGCAAACTGCCCTGAGGCTGTCCTCACCCCTGCCCAGCCACCTGCGGCTACAGAAAACCTGGGTTCAGGCTCTGCCAAAGGAGACTCCGTGGAGTTGTTGGCAGTGGGATGGAGAGATGGGGAAGGCAGCAGCTGACTTGGCCTCGGATGTGCTCCTGACAGGGCTTCCTCGCCACCCTGGGGCCTTGGTGATCAGAGCTCCCGGTCATGGCCTTGAGCCCTGACACTAGAGGAAGACCCCCTCCTCCTCCTCCTCCTCCTCCTCTAGCCTCTAATCGGGCTGGAGTTTAGGAGCTCAGCACTTCGGGGAAAGCTGCCCCCTTCCCAGAAAAAACCTATGACCCTCCCAATCCTTACCCTCCTGAATGAGGTGGGTGGGGGTAGGGATCTCATAAGTCCCTACAGAGGTGAATTCCCCTGGCCTAGCTGTGAAGGCACTTACCTCTGCCACCCCAGTCATCAGGCACACACCCACCCCCACCCATCACGTACCTGGGCCAGCCTTCCCCAGAAGACGGACCCCACAGAGCACCCATGAGGACTGTCCCCGCCCAAAGCATCAGTTCCAGGGTCACAGCCTCACTGGCTCCAGTGCCAGGCAAGTGACCAAAGTTAAGGCAGTGAGCTGGAGGGATGCTGATGGGCAAGGAGCTCCAGAGGGGCACCTGCCACTCAGTTGCAGCCCAGGTCTTCTGATTTTTCCAGAGAACCTGGAAATCCAGATTTGTATGTAAAAGATTCTCAAATTTAAGTGCCGACAGCGAATTCAAAATTCAAAACAAAAGTGCACAGCAAAAACAAAACAAAACAAAACAAAACAAAAACCCACACTGCATGGGCCTATTAAAAACCATTTTGTCCCACAGGCTATTGATTTGGAAGTCCCACTCTTTTTTTTTTTTTTTTTTTGAGACGGAGTCTCGCTCTGTCGCCCAGGCTGGGGTGCAGTGGCCGGATCTCAGCTCACTGCAAGCTCCGCCTCCCGGGTTTATGCCATTCTCCTGCCTCAGCCTCCCGAGTAGCTGGGACTACAGGCGCCCACCACCTCACTCGGCAAGTTTTTTGTATTTTTTAGTAGAGACGGGGTTTCACCGTGTTAGCCAGGATGGTCTCGATCTCCTGACCTCGTGATCCGCCCGTTTCGGCCTCCCAGAGTGCTGGGATTACAGGTGTGAGCCACTGCGCCTGGGCACGGAAGTCCCACTCTTGATGCCCCCGAACCACCAGCTTGGTCAAAGCACCAGCCTTCTATCCCTCCTAATGGCCTAAGCCACTTCTCGTTAGAAAGCCCAGTGGGCTCTGAGAGGCAGAGCCCGGCATGCCTGCATCCCTCTCCCGTGCATGCCATGGAGCCTTGTGGGTTACCCTTGTCAAGGAAGGGCTTGCCCTTGGCAGAAAAGGAAAGCAGGCTACTTCCCACCTTCTTGGGGCACTGGCTCAGGGGATGGCAGATCCCACCAAGCATGCTGGCAGACCCTGCCACCATCCTTGTCCATTCATGGAATCCAGGGTTGGATTAGAACCCATAGCCGGGGTTCTGCATCTGCCTGGCTTCCCATTATGAGCACAAGGCCATCAGGACATGCAGTCCCTGCTGGCCACATACCTGAGAGGCATTCTCTTAGGCCAGGTCACCGGGCTGGAGAGTGGGATAAGAAGAAGCCAAGGGGCAGAGGTGGGAGGTTAGACTCTAGCCCAACCTTCCTTCAACACATAGAATTCTGTCCATCAGGGTAGGTTGGGCGCCATCCCTACAGCCAGGGGCCTGCAAGTTAACTCTGTCTCACCCCCAGCTTGCACCCTAGCTGCGCAGAGAGGTGCAATGGTCGGGAGGGTTGGCCCTCATTGGCCCAGCTCACCTGGACCCCCAGGGGAGCCCCAGACAGGAGGACCGGGGTCCTGGCACATTGGACATCTGTCTATTTTCAGGAACCTGGCAGCTCAGGATGACATGTAGACACACAGCAGGACCCAGCAATTCCTTATATAAACCTTCATCCTGCAAGGGGCAGTGTCGAGGGCGGGGGGCAGCTGGAGCTCTTCCAGAAGAGCCAGGCTGAAGCTTGCCTCTGACAACCAAAGCTTTCTGCTGAGATTCACAAGCAGGCTCCAGGAGGACACGGAGACACTTTGGAGAGCAGACCTTAAGCACTCTGACCCAAGGAAGGCTCAGGTTACCTTCCTACGACATTCATTCATAAGATACTAATGACAGCCATTCTCTATTCCTTAGGGCAGGTCCCGGAGGGACTTCTAGTGTCTTGTTTGAATATGCCTTTCACGCATTCCCTCTCCAGGGTAAACTCTAACTCAGACTGGCCTCCCTTTCTGCTACTCAGTCAACAGGTATTTAGGAAGCCTCTCCAGCTGGCGGGGCAGGCTAGCCTACTTGGCAGTGGTGTGGTGACCTAGCCACCCCTAGCACCCTCTTCCCCCAGAGCTTTCCATTCCCCTACTGAGAAGACACCTGTGGTGGCAGGAGCCCACAGACAGGCCTCCCCCTTCTGCAGGCCCCATAAAGCTTCAGAATCCCCACCCTCCAACCAAGAGAGGCAGCTGAGAGGGCCGGTGAGTGGTTCTGGAACTATGGCTGCGTGGAGCTGGATACAGGGAGTGCCCATCCTGGTGGCAGGGCACCCACCACTGGGTCCTGCGCATGGCCCCTTAAGTCCTGGAGCCTGCACCAGGTCTGTGAACAGCCCTCCCCGTACCTTCTCCCTGGACCAGGCCCAGTCCCTGGCCCCTTGAATATCTTTATGTCCCTGGAGTTTGCTTCCCATCCAGGCCCGAAGCCTGATAAAGAGCCCTCCAACCCTCACAGTGCCAAGCCCTGATCCCCATTTGGCAAGGCGAGAGTTGGTCTGCAGTCTGTCTCCTCTCAAGAACCTACCTATACTCACCAAGGTTCTATTATGGGCTGACTTGAGGAATCTGGAAGAGCTTCCTCCAAGAGCGTTAAGGGGATGCATTCATTTGAGGAATCACAAGACCAGCAGAAATGGCCCAGGGGCTTGGGTGAGGTGAAAGGGCCACGTGGCATCCAAGCCCCAAGGCTAAAGTGTGGAAGTGGGTTTCAGCAAGACAAGCCATGGGCATGGAGCCAAATGGAACAGACGCCACCAAGATGCTCACGAGTCTCCTGCAGCATCTAGGACTTCTCTCAGCTTCCTCCTCTGTAAATGGGATCAAGTCCGGAACAGTGGGTCAGACCTAGGTACAGAGCCAGATAGATCTGGTCTTTTATGTTGGGTGAGTTCCTTAAACTGCCCAATCTGCAGGTACATGGTCTGTAAAAGGGTCATACTTATCCTTTGTGGCTGTTGACAGGGCTACAGGAAATGTACATACAGCACCTGGCATCCAGCAGGGCTCCATATGTGGGAGTGAACTATGACTTCATAGGC